ACTTGTAATAAAAATCTTTACCCACGATAACATGATGTATAAATACATAAATAAATTATTAACACTAATTATCACTTAATTTGGACGTAGCAGTGGAATACTAGAATTTGTTTTTTTTCCTAAGACACTGAAAGCTTATATCCNATTTGTAATAAAAATCTTTACCCACGATAACATGATGTATAAATACATAAATAAATTATTAACACTAATTATCACTTAATTTGGACGTAGCAGTGGAATACTAGAATTTGTTTTTTTTCCTAAGACACTGAAAGCTTATATCCCGAAAGGTATTTCTTTGTATCATGCAATTCTATTATAACTTTAAGTAAACCAGAGCATTTTTTAAAACCGTACATAATAAAAATCGTTGTCTCAACACAGAATGTAGTAGTAGAATAATTTTTTTAAATTCATGACAATTTCAGAATTTTTCAGACATAATATTATAATCGATGTAAACTATGTTATTAAGCAAAGCAAAAACGTTTCTACTAAAACATTTAACACCTCGTATTAAAATACATGACTTATCGTATCCGAGAAAATATTATTACCTTAATACCGGTTTTATTATGCATGGTTGATACATATGAGTGATATAAAAAGTTCTCGACATTTCAGCCAATTCTTAAATTAATTATGACTGGTACGGTGCGAATTCGAATTACAAAAATACATGTAGAAAATTCGGTAATTACGTTTCTATCAACATCGTTTACGTACAACATCTTTCTTTTTTATCGTAAAAGTAGTCTTAGTTGAATAAATAATTAATGGAATGTTGTTCGGCTTCTGAATTGGAAAGATACGAGAATTTGAACTGATTGTTTCTTACAAAGAACGTGGACAATGTTAAATAAATATAATACTACATATCTGCATACATATGCGGGCGTATACACGACGTTATACGTGATTAGTTAAACGTTATTGCTATAGTAAGAAGAATTCGACTACTGATACATGCTAGCCACTAATTAAAGGATCACATTCTCGTCTTTTAATGCCCTTGTATTACCGAGCTACAAGGTAAAGAGAATGTCTCCTAATCAATGCTATTAAAACATCACGCGGCGTGTTCGTCTATTCTATATGCAAGAAAAAATATATATACAAAATATGATCTAATATCATTAATTTGGCATGCCACGGAATGTAACGAACGAAGTGTCAAAAAGTGATCAAACAATAAAATTGCGAACGGTATTACAGCGGAAGCATATCTCGCTCGGACAATTGAAAATTTATAGTAGAACAATTCCATGATCTCTTTCCAGCCTACGTTTTGCTTTAAGAGACACAATTCCCATTAAATCTGCAGGAGTTGGAAGTCCTCCGGATGTATTTGGTGCCACTGCTTGTTGGTAAAATATCTCTATATTCCCGCACTGGTTACCGTAAACAACAGTATCTTCCGTTCTATTTAATTAATAAAAAATATATGCAATTTTTACCATGCTTATGAAACGTTACTATGAAGAATGTTTTTTTGTTAAAGAATCAAGATAGTAGAAAAATTTAAAGAAAAAAAAATATATATATCATATTCTATACTACATCTTTTGGCTCTGATCATTTTTTTTCAATAGCAAACAAATGCTTCTTTAATCGAGCAAAAAGATGTGAGTATATCTACCAAAGCAAGTTAAAGCTGATATATGCAAATCTACTAATTCGAGTATGTTTCTTCTAATATCTAAAAGAATTACCTAACAATGATGTCCGTGAGATTACTAGCACGAGAGAATCTATCGTGTAGGCAGGATACAATATCCAGTTCAGTGACTCCCCAAAGTCCAGAACGATTGATCGTATCCCATTGACTATCAATATTTAAAATACTATACAGCTCCTTGTTTTCGTTTGATGGTAGAGGCTCTAGACACTGCTGCAGTCTCGTTTCGAGTTTCCCTAATGTACTCACACAGGTGTGCCACTGCAATGTGCATTATCAGATATAAATTTAGTCAACTTGAAATAGTATACTATATAGGGTGACTTATCCAAATCAACTCACAGGAATAATACACCATAACATATCGGAATACTTACGAGGGTGTGTATAAGATCAGGATTGTTAGCAGTTCCGTTTTCCATCAGCAGTACCAACACCATATTCTGGTGGCCACAGAGAAACAGTTCGGTTGTCTCGAGACAAATTTCATCCTTGGACGTAGTAACCCAGTCCTCTTCGAGTTCGTCCTCCCCATCGCTACCTATCTCTTTATTGACTGCCTCTAATTTCTGTTTGATCAATTGATTCGTTGTCGTGGAGAATCCCGATAGATCACGAAATTCACTGGGGGTAGTCTCTCTGCTGCAGAATCCGCTGGTCCTTTCGTCAGCTAATAAACTAAGCTTTGACATTAATGGCGTCAACTGTAAGCCGTCCAATTTCTTTTTTTGAAGAAAGTCGTAAGTGTTCCCGCACTCAGACGTTGATTTTCGTCTGTCGTCATTTTCAGTGATGTTCAGCGGCTTTAACGGCAAGCTCATCGATCTGCGATAAGTTTCTTGCTTCGCTTTGTTGTCCAATTTAATTTCGCGAGAACTGTTCAACTTCTCCAAATTGTCTTTATTCGCGGTATCACAGTTGTTTGTTACATTCTGGACGTTACAATTATTATTCAAACTGGCTAAGAAGTCGTTACGATTAATCGTGTTGTTGCTATCGTCTGTGAGCTCTTCGTAATGGAAGGATATGTATTGCTGGTACAACGACATTGATACTGGTAGTCCGTCACCGCGGAACACGGGATAACAAGGATCAGTGATCGTGTGATATTGCTTCTTGTACTCCGGTTTCTTCTGAGGGGACGTCTCAGGTGATATGCTTTGTTTTAGCTGTGGTAGACCTAATCCATATGTTCTAACTGATATTCTATTACAATATAAATTGACAGACGAATCTAAGTCGTGCATGCTTAAGCTCTTCTTAGTAAACTCTCTCCGTTTGATCACTTTCTTTTTCGGTGGGACGTTCTTCAATTTGTTCAAGCGTTTACATCTAAGCGCCTCCTTGACGACATCCGGTATGTCGTCCACATTTGTTTTTATCTCCTCTTTTTCCTCCTCCGCTGTCTCCACATTGGCATCTTCGTTCGTGTTGCATATTAGCATAACGTTGCCGTGCAGTACTCTATTTACATCTTTCAAGGGTGTGGAGCAAACACTGGGAGTTAGAGGATTCACACACTTGGGACGGTCTGATTTACTTTCCTGTTTACGTTTTATTGGAGAGTTGTAAGCAGTAAGTGGAACGGAGGGTACATAGTGGCTGCCGTCGTTGTACTGTGAAGAGTCCAGTTCTCCTTCTTCAGGTACAGTGAAAATACGAGAAGTGTCGCGCTTCATTCCGGATAGAGGCGGCTCTTTACTGTTCTTAGACATGTTCTAAAAATAAGATTGTTACAGTATATATATACAACGTTTATTCCTAAAGTCTTGTTAAAGTCTATTTTAGCAGCTTGAAGATTTTACCTTTCTCTGCATCATTTTCTTCATAACAGAGTCAAAATAAGAACTATAATAACGTTCATTGTTTGCTTCTTGCATAAGTTTTGCATGCTGTTTCTGTTCTATATACACTTTCAGTAATTGCACTCCAACAGGTAGGTGAAATTCTGTTGATATTCTTTCTGCAGGGGCCTAGACCATAGGAAGTATTCGTTAGTATTGCATATTGCAACATGAAATGTAAGAATAATACAATTTTATTATACCTTTATTCTATATGGATCGGTAATAACAATTTGTTTGGTCAAGTCTGCACTTAATTGAGTGGCAACTACCCTGAGACATTGATAAGGATAATAAATAATTTATTTATCAAATAAGAACGGTTTGTTTGTTGTACTATAACTTACTTATTATTGTAGAAGATTGCACCTCCCATAACACCATTAGTTTCTTGGCAATATTGTAAAACTTCGATTGCTTCTAAAAATATGTTACTAGCACTCTAGGGAAAATTTGAAATTAGCATCAATATGAAGTAACAAAGTATAGAAAAATAAAGAGCAATTAATTAAATCGTTTATGTACACTTAGAAAACATAATGAAAAGAATGCCATGCACTAACCTTTGGAAGTTTGATAATAGGTATGTTGGAAAAAAGATTGGCACTATATTGAAGTATTGGCAAATAAGTTTCGA